ACAGAGACCCACAGACTCACACAGAGGCCCACAGACTCACCACACAGAGACCCACAAACCCACCACACAGAGAGCCATAGACTCATCACACAGAGACCCAGAGACTCATCACACAGACCCACAGACTCACCACACAGAGAGCCATAGACTCATCACACAGAGACCCACAGACTCACCACACAGAGACCCACAGACTCACCACACAGAGACCCACAGACTCACCACACAGAGACCCACAGACTCACCACACAAAGACCCACAGACTCACCACACGGAGAGCCATAGACTCATCACACAGAGACGCAGAGACTCATCACACAGAGACCCACCACACAGAGACCCATAGACTCACCACACAGAGACCCAGAGACTCACCACATAGAGACTCACCACACAGAGACCCACAGACTCACCATACAGAGACCCACAGACTCACCACACAGAGACCCACAGACTCATCACACAGAAACCCACAGACTCACCACACAGAGACCCATAGACTCACCATACAGAGACCCACAGACTCACCACACAGAGACCCACAGACTCACACACACAGAGACCCACAGACTCATCACACAGAGACCCAGAGACTCGCCACATAGAGACTCACCACACAGAGACCTATATACTCACCACACAGAGACCCACAGACTCACCACACAGAGACCCACAGACTCACCACACAGAGACCCACAGACTCACCACACATAGACCCACAGACTCATCACACAGAGACCCACAGACTCACACACACAGAGACCCACAGACTCATTACACAGAGACCCAGAGACTCACCACATAGAGACTCACCACACAGAGACCCATATACTCACCACACAGAGACCCACAGACTCACCACACAGAGACCCACAGACTCACCACACAGAGACCCACAGACTCACCACACAGAGACCCACAGACTCATCACCACAGAGACCCATAGACTCACCACACAGAGACCCACAGACTCACCACACAGAGACCCAGAGACTCACCACACAGAGACTCACAGACTCACCACACAGAGACCCACAGACTCACCACACAGAGACCCACAGACTCACCACACAGAGACCCACAGACTCATCACCACAGAGACCCACAGACTCACCACAGAGACCCATAGACTCACCACACAGAGACCCACAGACTCACCACACAGAGACCCAGAGACTCACCACACAAAGACTCACAGACTCACCACACAGAGACCCACAGACTCACCACACAGAGACACACAGACTCACCACTCACACACACAGACCCATGACTAACCCACATCCACTTTAGAACTGTGTGACGTCATTTGCACCCTCCGGGATTCCTGTGAGGCGACGTCATCGCTCGACGCACGCCCCACCCGCGACGCTATGACGTCATCCACCCCCCCCACTCCCTTTTGGAATTCCTCGAATTCTAAATCGGTTTTCTAATCTTTCGATTGCATAACGGAATCGATTGCCTCCTTTTAACACCGACATAGCCTCAATGGAATCGATTCCACCACGGTCGCCGGTCGATTCAACGCCCCCACCCACCGTCGAAGGCGAACGTAACCGCAGATCGGAATCGACTTTTTGGCGCGTAAGGGGCGTGGCGACGAATCGATTCCGGCGGATCGATCTCCCTCCCTCCCCCCTCCAAAGCCGCCGCTGAGTGAAGCGGCGTCATCACGAGGCGACCGCATCACAACCCGCCACCGCCGCCGCCCTCAGAAGCTTGTGCGCTGCCGCCATCTTAAAAAAGTTCGCCACCTATTTTTTTTTTATCTTAAAAAGAAACAGCGATTAAAGTCGCGGTAACTAGAAGATAACTTTCCATTAAAGTTACTCGCCGCGGGGTGGGCGGGGAGGCAACGTCGTCCCCACACTTGGAGACTCCGACGAACCATCGCCGGCTTCGCTCGAGGCGGTCGGGCAAGTACTACGGCCTGGGAACCCCTCGCCCCCTCATCCCCGGCCGCGCGAGCCAGGCGACACCGTAGGCTTCGGCCTACCCCCCCCTCGGTCTCTTGTAGGCCGGGGTAGGTTCGGTTGAGTTTAATCGTTGAGATGTTGAACGTTTTTAGGAGCTCGAGCGAGAGAGAAAGGAAAAGGTGAGGAGAGGTTTACGGCTCTCGCGACTTGGGAAGCGATTGTGTCGATTGAACGGTGGAACGGGTTCCTTGTGTGGGAAAATGTCCTGAGTTTAGTGGGTTTAAGTGTCTGTGGGTTTAGTGGGTTTAAGTGTTGTGGGTTTAAGGGTCTGTGGGTTTAGTGGGTTTAAGTGTCATGGGTTAGTGGGTTTAAGTGTCATGGAGTTAGTGGGTTTAAGTGTTGTGGGTTTAGTGGGTTTAAGTGTCATGGGTTAGTGGGTTTAAGTGTCATGGGTTAGTGGGTTTAAGTGTCATGGAGTTAGTGGGTTTAAGTGTTGTGGGTTTAGTGGGTTTAAGTGTCGTGGGGTTAGTGGGTTTAAGTGTCGTGGGGTTAGTGGGTTTAAGTGTTGTGGGGTTAGTGGGTTTAAGTGTCTGTGGGTTTAGTGGGTTTAAGTGTCTGTGGGTTTAGTGGGTTTAAGTGTTGTGGGTTTAAGGGTCTGTGGGTTTAGTGGGTTTAAGTGTCATGGGTTAGTGGGTTTAAGTGTCATGGAGTTAGTGGGTTTAAGTGTTGTGGGTTTAGTGGGTTTAAGTGTCATGGGTTAGTGGGTTTAAGTGTCATGGGTTAGTGGGTTTAAGTGTCATGGAGTTAGTGGGTTTAAGTGTTGTGGGTTTAGTGGGTTTAAGTGTCGTGGGGTTAGTGGGTTTAAGTGTCGTGGGGTTAGTGGGTTTAAGTGTTGTGGGGTTAGTGGGTTTAAGTGTTGTGGGTTTAGTGGGTTTAAGTGTCATGGGGTTAGTGGGTTTAAGTGTTGTGGGTTTAGTGGGTTTAAGTGTCTGTGGGTTTAGTGGGTTTAAGTGTCTGTGGGTTTAGTGGGTTTAAGTGTCTGTGGGTTTAGTGGGTTTAAGTGTAATGGGGTTAGTGGGTTTAAGTGTTGTGGGTTTAGTGGGTTTAAGTGTCATGGGGTTAGTGGGTTTAAGTGTCTGTGGGTTTAGTGGGTTTAAGTGTCGTGGGGTTAGTGGGTTTAAGTGTTGTGAGTTTAGTGGGTTTAAGTGTCATGGGTTTAGTGGGTTTAAGTGTTGTGGGTTTAGTGGGCTTAAGTGTCGTGGGGTTAGTGGGTTTAAGTGTCGTGGGGTTAGTGGGTTTAAGTGTCGTGGGGTTAGTGGGTTTAAGTGTCTGTGGGTTTAGTGGGTTTAAGTGTCATGGGTTTAGTGGGTTTAAGTGTCGTGGGTTTAGTGGGTTTAAGTGTCATGGGTTAGTGGGTTTAAGTGTCGTGGGTTTAAGTGTCTGTGGGTTTAGTGGGTTTAAGTGTCGTGGGTTTAGTGGGTTTAAGTGTCGTGGGTTTAGTGGGTTTAAGTGTCATGGGTTAGTGGGTTTAAGTGTTGTGGGTTTAGTGGGTTTAAGTGTCATGGGTTAGTGGGTTTAAGTGTTGTGGGTTTAGTGGGTTTAAGTGTTGTGGGTTTAGTGGGTTTAAGTGTTGTGGGTTTAAGTGTCATGGGTTTAGTGGGTTTAAGTGTTGTGGGTTTAGTGGGTTTAAGTGTTGTGGGTTTAGTGGGTTTAAGTGTCATGGGGTTAGTGGGTTTAGTGGGTTTAAGTGTCATGGGTTAGTGGGTTTAAGTGTCATGGGTTTAGTGGGTTTAAGTGTTGTGGGTTTAGTGGGTTTAAGTGTCGTGGGGTTAGTGGGTTTAAGTGTTGTGGGTTTAGTGGGTTTAAGTGTCATGGGTTTAGTGGGTTTAGTGGGTTTAAGTGTCATGGGTTAGTGGGTTTAAGTGTTGTGGGTTTAGTGGGCTTAAGTGTCGTGGGTTTAAGTGTCTGTGGGTTTAGTGGGTTTAAGTGTCATGGGTTAGTGGGTTTAAGTGTTGTGGGTTTAGTGGGTTTAAGTGTTGTGGGTTTAAGTGTCTGTGGGTTTAGTGGGTTTAAGTGTCATGGGTTAGTGGGTTTAAGTGTCATGGAGTTAGTGGGTTTAAGTGTCGTGGGTTTAAGTGTCATGGACTTAGTGGGTTTAAGTGTCATGGGTTAGTGGGTTTAAGTGTCATGGGTTAGTGGGTTTAAGTGTCATGGGTTAGTGGGTTTAAGTGTCATGGGTTAGTGGGTTTAAGTGTCATGGGTTAGTGGGTTTAAGTGTCATGGCCTTAGTGGGTTTAAGTGTCATGGGTTAGTGGGTTTAAGTGTCATGGGGTTAGTGGGTTTAAGTGTCTGTGGGTTTAGTGGGTTTAAGTGTCATGGGGTTAGTGGGTTTAAGTGTCTCTGGGTTTAGTGGGTTTAAGTGTCGTGGGTTTAAGTGTTGTGGGTTTAAGTATCTGTGGGTTTAGTGGGTTTAAGTGTCGTGGGGTTAGTGGGTTTAAGTGTCATGGGGTTAGTGGGTTTAAGTGTCATGGGTTAGTGGGTTTAAGTGTCATGGGGTTAGTGGGTTTAAGTGTCTGTGGGTTTAGTGGGTTTAAGTGTCGTGGGGTTAGTGGGTTTAAGTGTCGTGGGGTTAGTGGGTTTAAGTGTCTGTGGGTTTAGTGGGTTTAAGTATCTGTGGGTTTAGTGGGTTTAAGTGTCGTGGGGTTAGTGGGTTTAAGTGTCGTGGGGTTAGTGGGTTTAAGTGTCTGTGGGTTTAGTGGGTTTAAGTATCTGTGGGTTTAGTGGGTTTAAGTGTCGTGGGGTTAGTGGGTTTAAGTGTCTGTGGGTTTAGTGGGTTTAAGTATCTGTGGGTTTAGTGGGTTTAAGTGTCGTGGGGTTAGTGGGTTTAACCATCGTTCACTTGTTTGAGATGGGCAGAAGTTTACACTTGAACGGGCTGAATGGGTGTGTTTTGCAGTGACCCTCATGGTGAACCGGTGCGTTAATTCGCTTGTTAACGGCGCCTTGTTGAACTGCGTGGGCTGAGGCGCGTGGTAGAAGAGAGGGTTCCAGATGTTGACTACCTCTCCCGGTATGCAGGAGGTCGTGGGTTCGATTCCAGATGCCTCACAATCCTGCTGCTGTATATTTGGAGTTTTCGTGTCTTTCATCATCGTCACGGTGGCTATGAGATGTTAACTCTCTCGCCTGGTATACAGGAGGTCGTGGGTTCAATCTCGATTCCTGACCATGCGTGTATGTGCCAAGATGTTAACTACCTCACCTGGTATGCACGAGGTCGTGGGTTCAATCCTGAACCCTGACTATGTGTGTATGTGCCGAGATGTTAACTACCTCGCCTGGTATGCAGGATGCCATGGGTTCAATCGCGGACCACGTCGCCTGCTGTATACTCAGAGTTTGCATGTCTCTCTCCCCGTGGTCGCGTGCATTTTCCTCTCCGGGTCCTCCGGTTTTTCCCTCATTTATAATCAACGTCACGTGAAGAGCATTTGGCTGCGGCTACACATCTCCACTTGATGATGATGGTGGTGATCTGCCGCCACTTGGTTGAGCTATCATTTGTGATAGCCAATTCGCTTCTGAAAAAGAGCTCCTGCACGGCAGGTCAGTGGGGCTTTCCACCTGGTGTAAGATAAAAAGTGTTTCGTGATTGTTTAAGTTCACGGTGCGATGACAATGGCTTAAGTGGCTTTTAGAAGAAAAAGCGAAAGTAAATACAGGGGACTCCGCTACTTACAAACTTTCAGAGATTCGAACAAACCTGTCCATATGTCCAGTTGCAGCAGCCTGGCGATGGTGGCATCTACATCTGCAGAACGTGAAGAACCAGTGGCATCTACATCTACAGAACGTGAAGAACCAGTGGCATCTACATCTACAGAACGTGAAGAACCAGTGGCATCTACATCTACAGAACGTGAAGAACCAATGGCATCTACATCTACAGAACGTGAAGAACCAGTGGCATCTACATCTGTAGAACGTGAAGAACCAGTGGCATCTACATCTACAGAACGTGAAGAACCAGTGGCACCTACATCTGCAGAACGTGAAGAACCAGTGGCACCTACATCTGTAGAACGTGAAGAACCAGTGGCATCTACATCTGCAGAACATGAAGAACCAGTGGCACCTACATCTACAGAACGTGAAGAACCAGTGGCATCTACATCTGTAGAACGTGAAGAACCAGTGGCACCTACATCTACAGAACGTGAAGAACCAGTGGCATCTACATCTGCAGAACGTGAAGAACCAGTGGCATCTACAGAACGTGAAGAACCAGTGGCATCTACATCTACAGAACGTGAAGAACCAATGGCATCTACATCTACAGAACGTGAAGAACCAGTGGCATCTACATCTGTAGAACGTGAAGAACCAATGGCATCTACATCTACAGAACGTGAAGAACCAGTGGCACCTACATCTGCAGAACGTGAAGAACCAGTGGCACCTACATCTGTAGAACGTGAAGAACCAGTGGCATCTACATCTACAGAACGTGAAGAACCAGTGGCACCTACATCTACAGAACGTGAAGAACCAGTGGCATCTACATCTGTAGAACGTGAAGAACCAGTGGCACCTACATCTACAGAACGTGAAGAACCAGTGGCACCTACATCTACAGAACGTGAAGAACCAGTGGCATCTACATCTACAGAACGTGAAGAACCAGTGGCATCTACATCTGTAGAACGTGAAGAACCAGTGGCACCTACATCTACAGAACGTGAAGAACCAGTGGCATCTACATCTGTAGAACGTGAAGAACCAGTGGCACCTACATCTACAGAACGTGAAGAACCAGTGGCATCTACATCTACAGAACGTGAAGAACCAGTGGCATCTACATCTGTAGAACGTGAAGGACCAGTGGCATCTACATCTACAGAATGTGAAGAACCAGTGGCATCTACAGAACGTGAAAAACCAGTGGCATCTACATCTGCAGAACGTGAAGAACCAGTGGCATCTACATCTGCAGAACGTGAAGAACCAGTGGCACCTACATCTACAGAACGTGAAGAACCAGTGTCATCTACATCTGTAGAACGTGAAGAACCAGTGGCACCTACATCTGTAGAACGTGAAGAACCAGTGGCACCTACATCTGTAGAACGTGAAGAACCAGTGGCACCTACATCTGTAGAACGTGAAAAACCAGTGGCATCTACATCTGCAGAACGTGAAGAACCAGTGGCATCTACATCTGCAGAACGTGAAGAACCAGTGGCACCTACATCTACAGAACGTGAAGAACCAGTGTCATCTACATCTGTAGAACGTGAAGAACCAGTGGCACCTACATCTGTAGAACGTGAAGAACCAGTGGCACCTACATCTGTAGAACGTGAAGAACCAGTGGCACCTACATCTGTAGAACGTGAAAAACCAGTGGCATCTACATCTGCAGAACGTGAAGAACCAGTGGCATCTACATCTGCAGAACGTGAAGAACCAGTGGCACCTACATCTGTAGAACGTGAAGAACCAGTGGCATCTACATCTGTAGAACGTGAAGAACCAGTGGCATCTACATCTACAGAACGTGAAGAACCAGTGGCACCTACATCTGTAGAACGTGAAGAACCAGTGGCACCTACATCTACAGAACGTGAAGAACCAGTGGCATCTACATCTGCAGAACGTGAAGAGCCAGTGGCATCTACATCTGTAGAACGTGAAGAACCAGTGGCATCTACATCTGCAGAACGTGACGAACCAGTGGCATCTACATCTACAGAACGTGAAGAACTAGTGGCATCTACATCTGTAGAACGTGAAGAACCAGTGGCATCTACATCTGCAGAACGTGACGAACCAGTGGCATCTACATCTGCAGAACGTGAAGAACCAGTGGCACCTACATCTGTAGAACGTGAAGAACCAGTGGCATCTACATCTGTAGAACGTGAAGAACCAGTGGCATCTACATCTACAGAACGTGAAGAACCAGTGGCACCTACATCTGTAGAACGTGAAGAACCAGTGGCACCTACATCTACAGAACGTGAAGAACCAGTGGCATCTACATCTGCAGAATGTGAAGAACCAGTGGCATCTACATCTGCAGAACGTGAAGAACCAGTGACATCTACATCTACAGAACGTGAAGAACCAGTGGCATCTACATCTACAGAACGTGAAGAACCAGTGGCATCTACATCTACAGAACGTGAAGAACCAGTGGCACCTACATCTACAGAACGTGAAGAACCAGTGGCACCTACATCTACAGAACGTGAAGAACCAGTGGCACCTACATCTACAGAACGTGAAGAACCAGTGGCATCTACATCTGCAGAACGTGAAGAACCAGTGACATCTACATCTGCAGAATGTGAAGAACCAGTGGCATCTACATCTACAGAATGTGAAGAACCAGTGGCATCTGTAGAATGTGAAGAACTAGTGGCATCTACATCTACAGAACGTGAAGAACTAGTGGCATCTGCAGAACGTGAAGAACCAGTGGCACCTACATCTGTAGAATGTGAAGAACCAGTGGCATCTACATCTACAGAACGTGAAGAACCAGTGGCATCTACATCTACAGAATGTGAAGAACCAGTGGCATCTACATCTACAGAACGTGAAGAACTAGTGGCATCTGTAGAATGTGAAGGACCAGTGGCACCTACATCTGCAGGAGATTATACAACTGTTACAGCCATTCCCCGTGTCAGTGACGATGCCGTACAACACGTTTTGAATCGTTAGCAGTCAAGTTGGACTTAGGAACACAGACATCTGGAACCTGAGACGCGTTCGTGAGTATTTCCTGTAACAGGCGACGCTTCGGACAACAGCCCTTAGAAACGTATGTAGAGGAGTGCCAAAGACAAAGATCCCCCAGGTAGACTAAACAGACTTGGGCAAGTGCTGTGAGTAGCGAATATCAGCGTCGATGAAGGCTACCGGCACTGTGGCACACGAGGGGGTGGGTGGCCAGCACCACGCCCACCCGGCCGCCTTTGTCTCCCCACTGCTAGCGATGTTCACTACACACCGCACCGGGTACTCGTTTGAGGCTGAGTCGACCTAGGGGAGGCCCAGGGACCGGTAGAGATCATCGCTGTCACTGGCGGCGGTGGTGGCCGTGAGCGGGAGTCGAACTCGGGTCGCCGGGTTCGTAGCGCAGCGTGGCGATTATCTGAACCGGTGCCTGGGCCTCCCCTAGGTCGACTCAGCCTCAAACGAGTAACCTGGTGTGGCGTGTAGTAAACATCGCCACAGGGGAGACAAAGGCGGCCGGGCGTGGTGCTGGCCACCCACCCCCTCGTGTGCCACAGTGCCGGTAGCCTTCAAAGGCAGCGCTGCTACTCGCTACCAAACGGCACTTGCCCCGACTGCCCATGAAGACTACACGGGGGATCTTTGTCTTTGTGTGTGCAGTTTTGGTGACTCATAACATCCCTTCCGGCAAGCAAGCCTGAGTCAAGACTCGAGGCTTTTGGGAATCAAACAGATGATTTTTGTGTGCTAATTCTCCTTGTTAACTTGAATTTTTACTCACTGTTACGGTACGTGTAGAGTGATCACGTGTTTATTTGTGAGTCTTAACTAACACACGCAGCTTTGTGAGTCTTCACTAACACACGTATCTTTAGTTAGTAATAATACCCATTGTTTAAATAATAGATAAACCTGATGTTGATGTCTCTGCCCTGCGTGTATTTCTGTGTGTGTGTCAGTGTCGTCACCACCATGTCTATCAGCTGCTGGATGAAGGTCTCTGTGGTGACGACGATGATGACGTCTCTAGCCTGTGCGTGTATCTCTCTGTGTGTGTGTGTGTGTCAGTGTCTCTGTGTGTGTGTGTCAGTGTCTCTGTGTGTGTGTGTCAGTGTCTCTCTGTGTGTGTGTCAGTGTCTCTCTGTGTGTGTGTCAGTGTCTCTCTGTGTGTGTGTGTCAGTGTCTCTCTGTGTGTGTGTCAGTGTCTCTCTCTCTGTGTGTGTGTCAGTGTCTCTCTCTGTGTGTGTGTCAGTGTCTCTCTCGGTGTTACCGGCGAGCGAGCCCCTGATTGGGGAAACTCGCTCCCTTTGTTGTGGCGATGCGTCAACCTTGACCACCACCTGTCCTCCCCCCCCCGCCTGTCTGTCTGCCTGTACGTGTGTCCGTCTGCTTGTTTGTCTGCCTGTCCGTCTGCCTGTCCGTCTGCCCGTTCGTCTCCTCCCGTGCAGCCGATAGAAAATCTGGCCCCGACTTCACCGCAGCTCCCCTCTTCATCCTCCTTTTCCTCCTCGATGGATCCCGGAGAATCCAGAGAGGTCCCTCCTCCTCACCACCACCACCACCCTCCGTCGCCGCCCTCCTCCTCCTCGTCGTCGTCGTCCTCGTCGTCGTCCGAGGCTGCGACCGCCCCTGCGGCGGCTCAGCTGCGCAAGAAGAGCGGCTTCCAGATCACCAGCGTGGTGGTGCCGCCCCTACGGCCCGCCTCGTCCGCCAGCGTCGCCGACGACTCGGAGGGGGGCGAGGACGCGGAGGCGGAGGCCGTCACCGCATCGTCGTCCTCGTCGTCCGTGGCGGGGGTCGCCGGGGTCGCGGGGGTGGCGGGGGTCGCCGGGGTCACGGGGGTCGAGGGGGAGGGGAGCGCCACGACCGAGGGGGAGGAGGAGAGGAAGCTCTATGGAGAGTCACGGACGCCGGATCTTGGGCAGCTGCAGCAGCTGCAGCTGCAGTACAACAGCAGCAGTGAGTGCCAGCAGCAGCAGTTGCAGCATCAACTAAATCAGCAGCAGCAGCAGTTGCAGCATCAACAACATCAGCAGCATCAGCATCAACAAAATCAGCTGCCGCAGTACAACAGCGGCAGTGAGTACCAACAGCAGCAGGAACATCAGCAGCAGCTGCAGTTGCAGCAGCAGTTGCAGCAACAGCAGCAGTATCAACAAAATCATCAACAGCAGCAGCAGCAGCAGCACAGTCATCTGGACAACAACCACCACCACCATCAGCAGCAGCAGCAGTGGACCGCGGAACCTTCCTTCGTACAACCACCGCAACTACCGCAACTACCGCAAGCACCGCAAGCACCGCAACTACCGCAGCCATCGGCAGCGTTTACAAACGGTACCGCTGCTGCTGCTGCTACTGCTGCAACAACAACAACAACCGTCGACGTTGCTGCTGCTGCCGCTGCCGCCGCTGCTGCTTCCGCCTCCGCTTCGGCCGCTGCTGCTGCTTCACTGGACTCGGCTCCTCGTTCGCCTGCTGCTGCCGTCGCCGCCGCCTGCTACGCCACAGCGGCGTCGCCACGTCCCACGCCCACCACCACCGACGCCTCCTCAGCCACCGCCGCCGCCGTGGAAGCGTGCGGCGGCGGCGACGACGGGCGCAGAAGTTCCGTCGGTTGCGTGCAACTCGCGCCGCCCACAACACCGGCGGCACGGGGAGACGTCCGGCCGTGCGCGGAACTCTGCGACGGTTGCTTGCAACCGACGACGGCGGCGGCGACGGTCGCCACGACGGCGGTCGCCACGGCGGCGGTCGCCGCGACGACGGTCGCCACGGCGACTGCGCAGAACCCGTCGCGGTTCCGCGTGGTCAAGCTGGACTCGGAGCACATCGTGCCGTACCGGCGGGGCCGCTGGACTTGCTCGGACTTTCACGAGAGGGATCCCTCCCTGTACCACCACCACCACCACTATCAGCACCACCACCACCACCTGCTGCACCATCAGAATCAGCAGCAGCAGTTTCAACAGCTGCAGAACAGTCTGCATCTCCATCACCAGCAGCAGCAGCAGCAGCAGCACCACCACGGCACCGTGGCCAATCACATCAGCATCATCGACTGCGACGTCGCTGCCTTTCGTCGCCTGTCTCTGCCCACCGAGACGGAGATCTCGCTGGCGCAGGTGCAGCACCTGCAGCAGCTGCACCTGCAGCAGCAGCAGCAGGAGCTGTTGCTGCAGCAGCAACAGCTGCAGCAGCAGCAGCAGCAGAGTGACGGACAGTTGGACGGGTTGATTCAGAGCCTTCCGTTGGACGGGGAAGATGAGAGGTGAGGGGTCAAGTGGTGTCTGTGTGTGTGTCTGTGTGTGAGTGTCTGTGTGAGTGTGTGAGTGTGTGTGAGTGTGTGTCTGTCTGTGTGAGTGTGTCTCTGTCTGTGTGAGTGTGTGTCTCTGTGTGTGTGTCTGGCTGTGTGAGTGTGTGTCTGTGTGGGTGTGTGTCTGTGTGTGAGTGTCTGTGTGTCTGTGTGAGTGTGTGAGTGTGTGTCTGTGTGTGAGTGTGTGTCTGTGTGTGAGTTTATGTGTCTGAGTGTGTGTCTGTGTGTGTGTCTGTGTCTGTCTGTGTGGGTGTGTGTCTGTGTGTGAGTGTGTGTCTGTGTGTGAGTGTGTGTCTGTGTGTGAGTGTCTGTGAGTGTCTGTGTCTGAGTGTGTGTCTGTGTGTGTGTCTGTGCGTCTGTGCATCTGTCTGTCTGGGTGTGTGTCTGTGTGAGTGTGTGTCTGTGTGTGAGTGTCTGTGTACGTGTCTGTGTGCGTGTCTGTGTGCTATGAACCCGGTGACCCAAGTTCGATCCCGCTCACGGCCAACACCAGTGACGATTATCTAAACCTGGTTCTGGGCCTCCCCTAGGTCGACTCAGGCTCAAATGAGTACCCAGTGCGGTGTACAAATATCGTCGCGAGGGAGACAAAGGCGGCCGGGCGTGGTGCTGGCCACCCACCCCCTCATTGTGCCGTTCCTGCCTTCATAGGTGCTCGCCAACAGCACTTGCCCCAACAGTATGTTAAGGCTACATGGGGGATCTTTGTGTGTGAGAGTGCGTGTACATACGTGTGTGTGTGTCGTCTAAAGTGTGTGGCATTCCGCAGGATTGTAAATATGCCCTGGTGGTCCCCCTCTTTAATAAGGGGGACCGCACAGACTGTAACAACTACAGGGGCATCTCACTCCTCAGGTCCTGGCAAGGATTATTCAACATCGCCTTGCCAGGCACGCTGAGGAGAGGCTTGCGGAGCCCCAATGTGATTTCAGGAAAGGGCGGTCCTGCCCAGATGCCATATTTTCTGTCCGTCTGCTACAGCAGAGGTGTAGGGAATTCCATCAAGACCTACATCTCTGCTTTATTGACCTGGTCAAGGCCTATGATACCACCAGTAGGCCTGGGCTCTGGGTTGTTCTTCGTGCTTTCGGAGTCCCTGACCCTCTGCTCACGATCATTAAGGACCTTCATGATGGTGAGCGGGCCCGGGTGAAACTACGTGGCCGGGAATCGGAGCCATTCCCTGTACACCTTGGGGTGCGACAGTGATGTCCTCTGGCTCCAACATTATTTAACATCATCTTTGACCACGTAGTTCAAGAAGCTTTCCATGGCTGTACCGGAGGAATTTCCATCTGATACAGATGCGAATGGGAGGCTGATCGATGCCCGGGTGCGGTTAAGGGATGGTTCCTTATTGGTCAACCACGTTATGTATGCCGATGATCAGGTGATTGCCGCTCATTCAAAGGAGGAGTTGGAGGCGCTGCTGCTGAACCTGGAGCATGCCGCTAAGAGGTGGGGCCTTACCATTAGCCACACCAAAACTAAGCACTTGCCTGGGTATTTTGTACCATCGGACACTCCACCCCCACAACTCTCAATCGGTGATGGGGCAGTAGTGGAGAGAGTGGAGAGTTTCCCATACCTGGGCAGTGTGCTTATGACCGGCTCCAGTTTGACAGCAGAGGTCTCGCTCCGAATCAGTCGAGCGGCATTATCTTTTCATCGGCTGCATAATGCTGTGTGGAAGCTACCTGGTCTGTCGCTTCACACTAAATGCACCTGCAGGGTCTGTCCCGTGATCACCTCCTCGTGCACCTAGCCTGGCACAGCAGCGGTCAACCCACGGCACCTGCAGGGTCTGTCCCGTGACCTTGGAGTGCACCTAGCCTGGCGCGAGCGTTGCCGGTGCCGTTGTTGTGCGGTGCCGGAGTGGTGGTGCAGCGGTTAGCGCCACGCTGCGCTACGAACCCGGCTATGACCCGAGTTCGATTCCCGCTCATGGCCACCAACACCACCAGTGACGATTATCTGAACCGACTCAGCCTCAAATGAGTACCTGGTGCGGTGTGTAGCGAACATCGCCACTGGGGAGACAAAGGCGGCCGGGCGTGGTGCTGGCCACCCACCCCCTCGTGTGCCACAGTGCCGGTAGCCTTCACAGGTGCTGCTGCTGCCGCTACTAACAGCACTTGCCCCTACAGTCTGTTAAGGCTACACGGGGGATCTTTGTATTTGTGCATGTATATATAGCGGTATGGATGTGTGTACTGTGTGTGTATGTAGGATATGAATGTGTGTGTAGGGTATGAATGTGTGTGTGTAGGGTGTGTGTGTGTGTAGGGTATGAATGTGTGTGTATGTAGGGTATGAATGTGTGTGTATGTAGGGTATGAATGTGTGTGTGTGTGTGTAGGGTATGAATGTGTGTGTGTGTGTAGGGTGTGTGTGCGTGTGTAGGGTGTGTGTGTGTGTAGGGTATGAATGTGTGTATGTAGGGTGTGTGTGTGTAGGGTATGAATGTGTGTGTGTATGTAGGGTGTGTGTGTGTAGGGTGTGTGTGTAGGGTATGAATGTGTGTGTGTATGTAGGGTGTGTGTGTGTAGGGTGTGTGTGTGTGTAGGGTATGAATGTGTGTGTGTAGGGTATGAATGTGTGTGTATGTAGGGTGTGTGTGTGTAGGGTATGAATGTGTGTGTGTAGGGTGTGTGTGTGCGTGTAGGGTGTGTGTGTGTGTGTAGGGTATGAATGTGTGCGTGTAGGGTGTGTGTGTGTGTGTAGGGTATGAATGTGTGTGTGTCGGGTGTGTGTGTGTAGGGTATGAATGTGTGTGTGTAGGGTGTGTGTGTGTAGGGTATGAATGTGTGTGTGTAGGGTGTGTGTGTGTATGTATCTATAACTATAAAAGGGAAATTCGTGAATATGTGTGTCTGTTCAAAATGTTTAGCGTACTTCCCGACATGCAACAAACTTGAAATTTGCCATGTGGGTATTTTCCAGACTGTACACCGTGCAAACATTATTAAAATAGACTTTTTTTTCGTAATTTTTGCACGGGAAGTTAGCGGTGACATCACATCTGTCACGTGACCCGCGCACGCGCGGCGGTTAGCGCTACGCTGACCTACGAACCTGGCGACCCGAGTTCGATTGCCGCTCACGGCCACCACCGGTGACGAGTATCTGAACCGGTCCTGGGCCTCCCCTAGGTCGACTCGGCCTCAAATGAGTACCTGGTGCGGTGTGTAGCAAACATCGCCACTGGGGAGACAAAGGCGGCCGGGCGTGGTGCTGGCCACCCCACCCTTTCGTGTGCCGTTCCGGCCTTCATAGGTGCTCGCTAACAGCACTTGCCCCAACAGTCTGTTCAGGCTATACGGGGGATCTTTGTTTTTTATAGGGTATATATATGTGTGTGTATAGGGTATGTATGTGTGTGTATAGGGTATGTATATGTGTGTGTGTGTATAGGGTATGTGTGTGTGTGTATGTGTGTGTGTATAGGGTATATATATGTGTGTGTATAGGGTATATATATGTGTGTGTATAGGGTATGTATATGTGTGTGTGTATAGGGTATGTGTGTGTGTGTGTGTATAGGGTGTATAGGGTATGTGTGTGTATGTGTGTGTGTGTATAGGGTATGTGTGTGTGTGTGTGTATAGGGTATGTATATGTGTGTGTGTATGTGTGTGTGTGTATAGGGTATGTGTGTGTATAGGGTATGTGTGTGTATGTGTGTGTGTGTATAGGGTATGTATATGTGTGTGTGTATAGGGTATGTATATGTGTGTCTGTGTGTGTGTGTATATATAGGGTATGTATATGTGTGTGTATATAGGGTATGTATATGTATGTATATAGGGTGTATACGTGTGTATAGGGTATGTATATGTGTGTATACGTGTGTGTATGTGTGTAAGGAATCACCGATTGGCCACGGAAAGGGGCGGTTGTTGCTATTCCCACCACGGCCACACCCCCAGCCTCCTGCAGACACCGATCCTGACGGCCTGGGTTCAAGCCCTGGGTCTGGGTGTCTGTGTCCAAGTCACTGAGCTTGAGACCTGGGTTCAAGCCCTGGGTCTGGGTGTCTGTGTCCAAATCACTGAGCTTGAGACCTGGGTTCAAGCCCTGGGTCTGGGTGTCTGTGTTCAAGTCACTGAGCTTGAGACCTGGGTTCAAGCCCTGGGTCTGGGTCTCTGTGTCCAAGTCACTGAGCTTGAGACCTGGGTTCAAGCCCTGGGTCTGGGTCTCTGTGTCCAAGTCACTGAGATTGAAGTCCTGGGTTCAAGCCCTGGGTCTGGGTCTCTGTGTTCAAGTCACTGAGCTTGAGACCTGGGTTCAAGCCCTGGGTCTGGGTCTCTGTGTTCAAGTCACTGATCCTGACGGCCTGGGTTCAAGCCCTGGGTCTGGGTCTCTGTGTTCAAGTCACTGAGATTGAAGTCCTGGGTTCAAGCCCTGGGTCTGGGTCTCTGTGTTCAAGTCACTGAGATTGAAGTCCTGGGTTCAAGCCCTGGGTCTCTGTGTTCAAGTCACTCAGCTTGAGACCTGGGTTCAAGCCCTGGGTCTGGGTCTCTGTGTACAAGTCACTGAGATTGATGTCCTGGGTTCAAGCCCTGGGTCTGGGTCTCTGTGTCCAAGTCACTGAGATTGAAGTCCTGGGTTCAAGCCCTGGGTCTGGGTCTCTGTGTTCAAGTCACTGAGATTGAAGTCCTGGGTTCAAGCCCTGGGTCTGGGTCTCTGTGTCCAAGTCACTGAGATTGAAGTCCTGGGTTAGAGCCCCCGTGTCGCCTGCAAGAGACTGTGTACCAGGCGAGGTAGTTACCATCTCGGAGGCACCGTGGTTGAGAGGGGGGTGGGGCTGTCTCTGTGTGTGGTGTCCTGTGCAGTGCCTCTGGAGCCAGCGTGGTGGCCATCGACAACAAGATTGAGCAGGCGATGGTGAGGAGCGGTCACGGCACCACCACGGCACCACCACGGCACCACCACGGCACCACCACGCCAGCCACGCCGGCAGCAACGCACCAGCCACACCAAACCACCGCAACACGAGCTGCACCAACCACACTAGCAACGCTCACCACGCTCACCACGCTCACCACACTAGCAACGCTCACCACGCTCACCACGCTCACCACGCTCACCACGCTCACCACGCTCACCACACTAACCACACTCACCACGCTCACCACACTCACCATGCTCACCACGCTCACCACACTAGCAACATTCACCACACTAACCACACTCATCACACTCACCACACTAACCACACTCACCACACTCACCACGCTCACCACGCTCACCACACTAGCAACGCTCACCACACTAGCAACATTCACCACACTAACCACACTCACCGCAATACCCACACTCACCACACTCACCACACTCACCACACTAGCAAGATTCACCACACTAACCACACTAACCACACTAACCACACTCACCACACTCATCACACTCACCACACTCACCACGCTCACCACACTAGCAACATTCACCACACTAACCACACTCATCACACTCACCACACTAACCACACTAACCACACTAGCGACATTCACCACACTCACCACACTCATCACACTCACCACACTCACCACGCTCACCACACTAGCAATGCTCACCACACTAGCAACATTCACCACACTCACCACACTCACCGCAATACCCACACTCACCATGCTCACCACGCTCACCACACTCACCACGCTCACCACGCTCACCACGCTCACCACACTCACCACGCTCACCACGCTCACCACACTCACCACGCTCACCACACTCACCACACTCACCACGCTCACCACACTCACCACGCTCACCACACTCACCACGCTCACCACACTCACCAGACTCACCACACTCACCACGCTCACCACGCTCACCACACTCACCACGCTCACCACGCTCACCACGCTCACCACGCTCACCACGCTCACCACGCTCACCACGCTCACCACGCTCACCACGCTCACCACGCTCACCACACTCACCACACTCACTACACTCACCACGCTCACCACGCTCACCACGCTCACCACACTCACCACGCTCACCACGCTCACCACGCTCACCACACTCACCACGCTCACCACGCTCACCACACTCACCACGCTCACCACGCTCACCACACTCACCACGCTCACCGCACACACCACACTCACCACACTCACCACGCTCACCACACTCACCACACTCACCACACTCACCACGCTCACCACACTCACCACACTCACCACTCTCACCACGCTCACCACACTCACCACGCTCACCACACTCACCACGCTCACCACGCTCACCACTCTCACCACGCTCACCACACTCACCACGCTCACCACACTCACCACGCTCACCGCACTCACCACACTCACCACGCTCACCACGCTCACCACGCTCACCACACTCACCACGCTCACCGCACTCACCACACTCACCACTCTCACCACGCTCACCACACTCACCACACTCACCACTCTCACCACACTCACCACACTCACCACTACCTCCACACTCACCACACTCACCACACTCACCACACTCACCACACTCACCACACTCACCACACTCACCACACTCACCACACTCACCACAATCACCACACTCACCACGCTCACCACACTCACCACGCTCACCACGCTCACCACGCTCCCCACGCTCACCGCGCTCACCGCACTCACCACGCTCACCACGCTCACCACGCTCACCACACTCACCACGCTCACCACGCTCACCACACTCACCACGCTCACCACACTCACCACACTCACCACTCTCACCACGCTCACCACACTCACCGCGCTCACCGCACTCACCACACTCACCACTCTCACCACGCTCACCGCGCTCACCGCACTCACCACGCTCACCACTCTCACCACACTCACCACGCTCACCACTCTCACCACGCTCACCGCGCTCACCGCACTCACCACACTCACCACACTCACCACGCTCACCACGCTCACCACACTCACCACTCTCACCACACTCACCACGCTCACCACGCTCACCACTCTCACCACGCTCACCACACTCACCACACTCACCACTCTCACCACGCTCACCACACTCACCGCGCTCACCACGCTCACCGCGCTCACCGCGCTCACCGCACTCACCACTCACCACGCTCACCGCACTCACCACTCTCACCACTCTCACCACGCTCACCACGCTCACCACGCTCACCACGCTCACCACGCTCACCACGCTCACCACGCTCACCACGCTCATCACGCTCATCACGCTCACCACTCTCACCACGCTCACCACGCTCACCACGCTCACCACGCTCACCACGCTCACCACGCTCACCACGCTCACCACGCTCACCACGCTCGCCACGCTCGCCACACTCACCACACTCACCTGACCACGCTAACCACCACACTAGTTAGTCTGGGCAATGTAAGTCTATGGGCAGTGTTAGTCTATTGGCAATGCAACTCTATGGACAATGTGAGTCTATGGGCAATGTTAGTCTATGGGCAGTGTGATTCTATTGGCAATGCAACTCTATGGGCAATGTGAGTCTATGGGCAATGTTAGTCTATGGGCAATGTGAGTCTATGGGCAATGTGAGTCTATGGGCAATGAGAGTCTATGGGCAATGTGAGTCTATGGGCAATGTTAGTCTATTGGCAATGCAACTCTATGGGCAATGTGAGTCTATGGGCAATGTGAGTCTATGGGCAATGAGAGTCTATGGGCAATGTTAGTCTATGGGCAATGAGAGTCTGTGGGCAATGCAACTCAATGGGCAGTGTGAGTCAATGGGCAATGTGAGTCTATGGGCAATGAGAGTCTATGGGCAATGTGAGTCTATGGGCAATGTGAGTCTATTGGCAATGCAACTCTATGGGCAATGAGAGTCTATGGGCAATGTTAGTCTATGGGCCATGTGAGTCTATGGGCAATGTTAGTCTATGGGCAATGTGAGTCTATGGGCAATGAGAGTCTATGGGCAGTGTGAGTCTATGGGCAGTGTGAGTCTATGGGCAATGTTAGTCTATGGGCAATGCAACTCTATGGGCAATGTTAGTCTATGGGCAGTGTGAGTCTATGGGCAGTGTGAGTCTATTGGCAATGCAACTCTATGGGCAATGTGAGTCTATGGGCAGTGTGAGTCTATGGGCAGTGTGAGTCTATGGGCAGTGTGAGTCTATGGGCAGTGTGAGTCTATTGGCAATGCAACTCTATGGGCAATGTGAGTCTATGGGCAATGTTAGTCTATGGGCAGTGTGAGTCTATGGGCAGTGTGAGTATTGGCAATGTGAGTCTATGGGCAATGTGAGTCTATGGGCAATGTTAGTCTATTGGCAATGCAACTCTATGGGCAATGTGAGTCTATGGGCAATGTGAGTCTATGGGCAATGAGAGTCTATGGGCAATGTTAGTCTATGGGCAATGAGAGTCTGTGGGCAATGCAACTCAATGGGCAGTGTGAGTCAATGGGCAATGTGAGTCTATGGGCAATGAGAGTCTATGGGCAATGTGAGTCTATGGGCAATGTGAGTCTATTGGCAATGCAACTCTATGGGCAATGAGAGTCTATGGGCAATGTTAGTCTATGGGCCATGTGAGTCTATGGGCAATGTTAGTCTATGGGCAATGTGAGTCTATGGGCAATGAGAGTCTATGGGCAGTGTGAGTCTATGGGCAGTGTGAGTCTATGGGCAATGTTAGTCTATGGGCAATGCAACTCTATGGGCAATGTTAGTCTATGGGCAGTGTGAGTCTATGGGCAGTGTGAGTCTATTGGCAATGCAACTCTATGGGCAATGTGAGTCTATGGGCAGTGTGAGTCTATGGGCAGTGTGAGTCTATGGGCAGTGTGAGTCTATGGGCAGTGTGAGTCTATTGGCAATGCAACTCTATGGGCAGTGTGAGTCTATGGGCAGTGTGAGTCTATGGGCAGTGTGAGTCTATGGGCAGTGTGAGTCTATTGGCAATGTGAGTCTATGGGCAATGTGAGTCTATGGGCAATGTGAGTCTATGGGCAATGTGAGTCTATGGGCAATGTTAGTCTATGGGCAATGTGAGTCTATTGGCAATGCAACTCTATGGGCAATGTTAGTCTATGGGCAGTGTGAGTCTATGGGCAGTGTGAGTCTATTGGCAATGCAACTCTATGGGCAATGTTAGTCTATGGGCAGTGTGAGTCTATGGGCAGTGTGAGTCTATTGGCAATGCAACTCTATGGGCAATGTGAGTCTATGGGCAATGTTAGTCTATTGGCAATGTGAGTCTATGGGCAGTGTGAGTATATTGGCAATGTGAGTCTATGGGCAGTGTGAGTCTATTGGCAGTGTTAGTCTATGGGCAATGCAACTCTATGGGCAATGTGAGGTTATGGGCAATGTGAGTCTATGGGCAATGTGAGTCTATGGGCAATGTGAGTCTATTGGAAATGCAACTCTATGGGCAATGAGAGTCTATGGGCAATGTTAGTCTATGGGCCATGTGAGTCTATGGGCAATGTTAGTCTATGGGCAATGTGAGTCTATGGGCAATGAGAGTCTATGGGCAATGTTAGTCTATGGGCAGTGTGAGTCTATGGGCAGTGTGAGTCTATTGGCAATGCAACTCTATGGGCAATGTGAGTCTATGGGCAGTGTGAGTCTATGGGCAGTGTGAGTCTATGGGCAATGTTAGTCTATGGGCAATGTGAGTCTATTGGCAATGCAACTCTATGGGCAATGTTAGTCTATGGGCAGTGTGAGTCTATGGGCAGTGTGAGTCTATTGGCAATGCAACTCTATGGGCAATGTGAGTCTATGGGCAATGTTAGTCTATTGGCAATGTGAGTCTATGGGCAGTGTGAGTCTATGGGCAGTGTGAGTCTATGGGCAGTGTGAGTCTATTGGCAATGTGAGTCTATGGGCAGTGTGAGTCTATTGGCAATGCAACTCTATGGGCAATGTGAGTCTATGGGCAATGTGAGTCTATGGGCAATGTGAGTCTATGGGCAATGTGAGTCTATTGGCAATGCAACTCTATGGGCAATGAGAGTCTATGGGCAATGTTAGTCTATGGGCCATGTGAGTCTATGGGCAATGTTAGTCTGTGGGCAATGTGAGTCTATGGGCAGTGTGAGTCTATGGGCAGTGTGAGTCTATGGGCAATGCAACTTTATGGGCAATGTGAGTCTATGGGCAGTGTGAGTCTATGGGCAGTGTGAGTCTATTGGCAATGTGAGTCTATGGGCAATGCAACTCTATGGGCAATGTTAGTCTATGGGCAGTGTGAGTCTATGGGCAGTGTGAGTCTATGGGCAGTGTGAGTCTATGGGCAATGAGAGTCTATGGGCAATGTGAGTCTATGGGCAATGCAACTCTATGGGCAATGAGAGTCTATGGGCAATGTGAGTCTATGGGCAATGTGAGTCTATGGGCAGTGTGAGTCTATGGGCAATGTGAGTCTATGGGCAGTGTGAGTCTATGGGCAATGTGAGTCTATGGGCAATGTAAGTCTATGGGCAATGTGAGTCTATGGGCAGTGTGAGTCTATGGGCAATGTGAGTCTATGGGCAATGTAAGTCTATGGGCCATGTGAGTCTATGGGCAATGCAACTCTATGGGCAATGTGAGTCTATGGGCAATGTGAGTCTATGGGCAGTGTGAGTCTATGGGTAGTGTGAGTCTATGGGCAATGTGAGTCTATGGGCAGTGTGAGTCTATGGGCAATGAGAGTCTATGGGCAATGTGAGTCTATGGGCAATGTGAGTCTATGGGCAATGTGAGTCTATGGGCAATGTGAGTCTATGGGCAATGTGAGTCTATGGGCAATGAGAGTCTATGGGCAATGTGAGTCTATGGGCAATGTGAGTCTATGGGCAATGTGAGTCTATGGGCAGTGTGAGTCTATGGGCAATGAGAGTCTATGGGCAATGAGAGTCTATGGGCAATGTGAGTCTATGGGCAATGAGAGTCTATGGGCAATGTGAGTCTATGGGCAGTGTGAGTCTATGGGCAATGAGAGTCTATGGGCAATGAGAGTCTATGGGCAATGTGAGTCTATGGGCAATGTGAGTCTATGGGCAGTGTGAGTCTATGGGCAATGAGAGTCTATGGGCAATGAGAGTCTATGGGCAATGTGAGTCTATGGGCAATGTTAGTCTATGGGCAGTGTGAGTCTATGGGCAATGCAACTCAATGGGCAATGTGAGTCTATGGGCAATGTGAGTCTATGGGCAATGTGAGTCTATGGGCAATGTTAGTCTATGGGCAATGCAACTCTATGGGCAATGAGAGTCTATGGGCAATGCAACTCAATGGGCAATGTGAGTCTATGGGCAATGCAACTCAATGGGCAATGTGAGTCTATGGGCAATGTGAGTCTATGGGCAGTGTGAGTCTATGGGCAATGCAACTCAATGGGCAATGCAACTCAATGGGCAATGTGAGTCTATGGGCAATGCAACTCAATGGGCAATGTGAGTCTATGGGCAATGTGAGTCTATGGGCAATGCAACTCAATGGGCAATGTGAGTCTATGGGCAATGTGAGTCTATGGGCAGTGTGAGTCTATGGGCAATGCAACTCAATGGGCAATGCAACTCAATGGGCAATGTGAGTCTATGGGCAATGCAACTCAATGGGCAATGTGAGTCTATGGGCAATGTGAGTCTATGGGCAATGCAACTCAATGGGCAATGTGAGTCTATGGGCAATGTGAGTCTATGGGCAATGTGAGTCTATGGGCAATGTGAGTCTATGGGCAATGAGAGTCTATGGGCAGTGTGAGTCTATGGGCAGTGTGAGTCTATGGGCAGTGTGAGTCTATGGGCAGTGTGAGTCTATGGGCAGTGTGAGTCTATGGGCAATGCAGGTAAGGTCCTTTACCTGTTCTTGCTTACAAACCTCTCTGCTCCCCCCCACCCCCCGCCCCCCACCCCCCCCCGTGTGCAGGACCTGGTGAAGTCGCACCTGATGTTTGCGGTGCGTGAGGAGGTGGAGGTGCTGCAGGAGCAGATCAAGGAGCTGCTGGAGAAGAACGTGCAGCTGGAGACGGAGAACCGTCTCCTGCGCAGCCTCGCCTCGCACGACCAGCTGCTGCAGGTCACCGCCTCCGCCGCGCCTACGCAACCGCTGCAACTCACGCAATCGTCGCAACTGACGCAACCGATGCAACCGATGCAACCGACGCAACCGACGCAACCGTCGCAACCGTCGCAACCGTCGCAACCGTCGCAACCGTCGCAACCGGCTCAACCGGCTCAACCGGCGCAACCGATGCAACCGGCGCAACCGACGCAACCGCCGCAACCCGCGCAACCGGCGGCATCGCCGGCAATTGGTTGGCAGGTTTCGTAAGGGGACAATCTGAGCCGTCGGTAGGGTGTGGAGGGGGGGCATTGGGAAACAAGACCCACAGAAAAATCTGAGACTTGTCGACACGTGAATTGATGTCGTCGTCGTCGTCGTCGTCTGAAGGAGGAGGAGGAAGAATAATAAATAAGAAGATAATTATTATATATTTTTGTTGTAACGCGTCGTTTGATACCGGTTTAAGAGGCATATTTAAATCGCTCTCTCCAGTTCACTTCTCTGCCCGTCTCTCTCGGGCCGTCGGTGAATTTGGAGTTTGAATTTTGTTGTCGATGTTTTTGTGAGAAGGAGATCCGCGCGTGGTGGTTGTTGTGGAGGGGTCGTCGGTGTGACTGTGCCTTCTGTTACGGATGCGTGCCGCTTAAAGTGTTTCCTGGACGTGTCTGACGGCCGTTGTTAACCCGGAGATCTCCGTGTGTCTCTGACGACACGGCCATTGTGAGTCTCTCTGTGAGAGAGAGAGACACCCAGACCCAGTGTCTCTGACACGGCCATTGTGAGTCTCTCTGTGAGAGAGAGACACCCAGACCCAGTGTCTCTGACACGGCCATTGTGAGTCTCTCTGTGAGAGAGAGAGACACCCAGACCCAGTGTCTCAGTGTCTCTGACACGGCCATTGTGAGTCTCTCTGTGAGAGAGAGAGACACCCAGACCCAGTGTCTCTGACACGGCCATTGTGAGTCTCTCTGTGAGAGAGAGAGAGAGAGACACCCAGACCCAGTGTCTCTGACACGGCCATTGTGAGTCTCTCTGTGAGAGAGAGACACCCAGACCCAGTGTCTCTGACACGGCCATTGTGAGTCTCTCTGTGAGAGAGAGAGACACCCAGACCCAGTGTCTCAGTGTCTCTGACACGGCCATTGTGAGTCTCTCTGTGAGAGAGAGAGACACCCAGACCCAGTGTCTCTGACACGGCCATTGTGAGTCTCTCTGTGAGAGAGAGAGAGAGACACCCAGACCCAGTGTCTCTGACACGGCCATTGTGAGTCTCTCTGTGAGAGAGAGAGACACCCAGACCCAGTGTCTCTGACACGGCCATTGTGAGTCTCTCTGTGAGAGAGAGACACCCAGACCCAGTGTCTCTGACACGGCCATTGTGAGTCTCTCTGTGAGAGAGAGAGACACCCAGACCCAGTGTCTCTGACACGGCCATTGTGAGTCTCTCTGTGAGAGAGAGACACCCAGACCCAGTGTCTCTGACACGGCCATTGTGAGTCTCTCTGTGAGAGAGAGAGAGAGACACCCAGACCCAGTGTCTCTGACACGGCCATTGTGAGTCTCCCCTGTGAGAGAGAGAGACCCAGACCCAGTGTCTCAGTGTCTCTGACACGGCCATTGTGAACCCAGTGTCTCAGTGTCTGTGACACGGCCATTGTGAACCCCTCCTGTGAGAGAGAGAGACACCCAGACCCAGTGTCTCAGTGTCTCTGACACGGCCATTGTGAGTCTCTCTGTGAGAGAGAGAGAGACCCAGACCCAGTGTCTCTGACACGGCCATTGTGAGTCTCTCTGTGAGAGAGAGAGAGACACCCAGACCCAGTGTCTCTGACACAGCCATTGTGAGTCTCTCTGTGAGAGAGAGACACCCAGACCCAGTGTCTCTGACACGGCCATTGTGAGTCTCTCTGTGAGAGAGAGAGAGAGACACCCAGACCCAGTGTCTCTGACACGGCCATTGTGAGTCTCCCCTGTGAGAGAGAGAGACCCAGACCCAGTGTCTCAGTGTCTCTGACACGGCCATTGTGAACCCAGTGTCTCAGTGTCTGTGACACGGCCATTGTGAACCCCTCCTGTGAGAGAGAGAGACACCCAGACCCAGTGTCTCAGTGTCTCTGACACGGCCATTGTGAGTCTCCCTGTGAGAGAGACACCCAGACCCAGTGTCTCAGTGTCTCTGACACGGCCATTGTGAGTCTCCCTGTGAGAGAGACACCCAGACCCAGTGTCTCAGTGTCTCTGACACGGCCATTGTGAGTCTCCCTGTGAGAGAGACACCCAGACCCAGTGTCTCTGTGTCTCTGACACGGCCATTGTGAACCCAGTGTCTCAGTGTCTCTGACACGGCCATCGTGAACCCCCCCTGTGAGAGAGAGAGAGACACCCAGACCGAGTGTCTCTGACACGGCCATTGTGAACCCTTCCTGTGAGAGAGAGAGACACCCAGACCCAGTGTCTCTGTGTCTCTGACACGGCCATTGTGAACCCAGTGTCTCAGTGTCTCTGACACGGCCATCGTGAACCCCTCCTGTGAGAGAGAGAGACACCCAGACCCAGTGTCTCTGACACGGCCATTGTGAACCCTTCCTGTGAGAGAGAGAGACACCCAGACCCAGTGTCTCTGACACGGCCATTGTGAACCCTTCCTGTGAGAGAGAGAGACACCCAGACCCAGTGTCTCAGTGTCTCTTGACACGGATCATCGTGAACCCCCTCAGAGAGAAAGGCAGAGACACCTGTAACAGCAATGTCTTTGTACACACGCGCACAAGAGCAACAGCACAACGCCCCATCCCGTCTGTTTTAATTTCAAACTCATTTACTCTCCGCGTATGAATTGAACCGCCGCCGCCGCCATCGTTATAAGAAGTATTTTATAAGTTGTTGTATTTTGTCGTAAGGGTTGTGAGCAGGTTGTGTTTTTTTGTACATTTTTGTTTACTTTAAACTGACTCATTTTATAATGCAGCAGCAGCAGCAGCATTGCAAATAGGACCAAACCACTATCACTCAAACGCTCACCCGCTCACCATACGAGCCAATCACCACCACCACCACTCACCATACGAGCCAATCACCACCACCACCACTCACCATGTGAGCCAATCACCACCACCACCACTCACCATGCGAGCCAATCACCACCACCACTCACCATGCGAGCCAATCACCACCACCGCTCACCACTCAGCAAGCGATCCAATCACCACCACCGCTCACCACTCACCATACGAGCCAATCACCACCACCACCACCGCTCACCACGCAAGCCAATCACCACCACCGCTCACCACTCACCATGCGAGCTAATCACCACCACCACCACTCACCATACGAGCCAATCACCACCACCGCCACAACTCACCATGCGAGCCAATCACCACCACCGCTCACCACTCACCAAGCGATCCAATCACCACCACCACCACTCACCATGTGAGCCAATCACCACCACCACTCACCATGTGAGCCAATCACCACCACCACCACTCACCATGTGAGCCAATCACCACCACCACCACTCACCATGCGAGCCAATCACCACCACCACCACTCACCAAGCGAGCCAATCACCACCACCACCACTCACCATGTGAGCCAATCACCACCACCACTCACCATGTGAGCCAATCACCACCACCACCACTCACCATGCGAGCCAATCACCACCACCACCACTCACCATGTGAGCCAATCACCACCACCACCACTCACCATGCGAGCCAATCACCACCACCACCACTCACCATGCGAGCCAATCACCACCACCACCACTCACCAAGCGATCCAATCACCACCACCACCACTCACCATGTGAGCCAATCACCACCACCACCACTCACCATGTGAGCCAATCACCACCACCACCACTCACCATGCGAGCCAATCACCACCACCACCACTCACCATGTGAGCCAATCACCACCACCACCACTCACCATGCGAGCCAATCACCACCACCACCACTCACCATGCGAGCCAATCACCACCACCACCACTCACCAAGCGATCCAATCACCACCACCACCACTCACCATGTGAGCCAATCACCACCACCACAACTCACCATGCGAGCCAATCACCACCACCGCTCAGCACTCACCATGCGAGCCAATCACCACCACCACCACCACTCACCATGCGAGCCAATCACCACCACCACCACCACCACAACTCACCATGCGAGCCAATCACCACCACCGCCACCACTCACCAAGCGAGCCAATCACCACCACCACCGCTCACCCACTTACCATGCAAGCCATGTTCTATCTACTGCTGCTGCTGCTGCTGCATTGACACCACACGCGCCTACACAACCAAGCCTTATTCACAGCCACAACAACCACCACTACAACCACCACCATCTTCCTGTGCTAGAAGCCATCACGACCACCACAACCACCACTGCCTCAACCACAACCACCTCAACCACCACCGTTCTACTAAGCTAGAAACCACAACCACCACCACCACCACCTCAACCACCACCTCAACCACCACAACCACCACCACAACCACCACCTCAACCACCACTACAACCATCACCTCCACCACCGTCTTCCTGTGCTAGAAGCCATCACGACCACCACAACCACAACCACCACCTCAACCACCACCACAACCACCACCGCCATCCTCTGGGGTGCTGTCTATGCCACCGTGCCATGCCCTCCGCCATCTCACGTCGTCGTTGGCCTACTCTTCCGTTTTGCCGGCTGGACCTAATTATAAAGAAGGTTAAAATTTCACTTTTTTTTTGCTTTAATGTTACACGCCCGTTTAGGGCCTTCGGTGATTATACATTTACGTTGTTGTTGTTGTTGGTTTGTCGGCGTCGTCGTTGTTGTCGTTGTTATCGTTGTTGTCGCGTTAAAAACAATTCCACTGTCAGTATTTGCTCCTGGCCATGCAATCCGCTGTGGGTTCTTTTTCTAAATCACAGTCCGTCCCACCAACCCCCCCCCTCCCCCCCCTTCCCTCCCCCATTAAACTATTTAACTTTAATATTTTTTAACGATTTTCAACCAGGTTTGTTAAGGTGCCCTTCCCACCCACACACCCACACTGAGCTGACACTTTAGCTGCTGGACATCTGTGAACGGAGAGCTTTTATCGCGCATCGCATTCCTCCGGTATGAATTAAACAATATCTATCTGTCTGTCGTATTCACGTCCTCATTGGAGCACTGCTTCCCCGCCCGTCGCGAACCATAGCTCGTCCCAGTGACGTCATCGGAGACATCGGAGACATCATTGACGTCATCGTCGCCATCGTCATGGACGTTATGATCGTCATTGACGTCATCATTGTCATCGTCGTCGTCATCGTCGCCATCGTCCGCGTGGACATTGAGAGCGGCAGCCACATTAGTCTAATCGCTCGTTCCCACAGAGACCCACAGAAACCCATAGAGACCCACAGAGACCCAAACCCACAGAGTCCCACAGAGACCCACAGAGTCCCACAGAGACCCAAACCCACAGAGACCCACAGAATCCCACAGAGACCCAAACCCACAGAGACCCACAGAATCCCATAGAGACCCACAGAGACCCAAACCCACAGAGTCCCACAGAAACCCACAGAGACCCACAGAGTCCCACAAAGACCCATAGAGACCCACAGAGTCCCACAGAGACCCATAGAGACCCACAGAGTCCCACAGAGACCCACAGAGTCCCACAGAATCCGACAGTCCCACAGAGACCCATAGAGACCCACATAGACCCATAGAGACCCACAGAGACCCATAGAGACCCATACTCACAGAGTCCCACAGAGACTCAAACCCACAGAGTCCCACAGAGACCCATAGAGATCCACAGAGTCCCACAGAATCCAAAAGTCCCACAGAGACCCATAGAGACCCACAGAGTCCCACAGAGTCCCACAGAGACCCACAGAGACCCATATAGACCCATAGAGACCCATACAGAGTCCCACAGAGACCCACAGAGACCCACAGAGTCCCACAGAGACCCACAGAGACCCACAGAGTCCCACAGAGACCCATAGAGACCCACAGAGTCCCACACAAATGTAGAGAGAGGGCTCAAGGAAGTTGCTCACTTATCATCGCCATCATCGCGTGGCCATTTATAGCGGCAGCCAAATTATTCGAAACACGCCTTTCCACAGATACTCGCAGAGACCCACAAAGACCCACAGAGACCCACAGAGATCCCACAGAGGCTTACATATAACCATACAGACCCACAGACTTGTATAAAACCATAGAAACTCACAGAGACTCATATAGACCCACAGAGACGACTTACAGAGACCCATAGAGACTCACAGACTCACAGAGACCCATAGAGACTCACAGAGACCCGGGTCTCAGTGTCTAGACACCGGGTCTCAGCGTCTAGACACCGGGTCTCAGCGTCTAGACACCGGGTTCAGAGTCTAGACACCGGGTTCAGAGTCTAGACACCGTGTCTCAGTGTCTAGATACCGTGTCTCAGTGTCTAGACACCGTGTCTCAGCGTCTAGACACCGGGTCTCAGCGTCTAGACACTGGGTCTCAGTGTCTAGACACCGTGTCTCAGAGTCTAGACACCGGGTCTCAGTGTCTAGACACCGGGTCTCAGTGTCTAGATACCGGGTCTCAGCGTCTAGACACCGGGTCTCAGCGTCTAGACACCGGGTCTCAGAGTCTAGACACCGGGTCTCAGTGTCTAGACACCGGGTCTCAGCGTCTAGACACCGGGTCTCAGCGTCTAGACACCGGGTCTCAGCGTCTAGACACCGTGTCTCAGCGTCTAGACACCGTGTCTCAGCGTCTAGACACCGTGTCTCAGCGTCTAGACACCGTGTCTCAGCGTCTAGACACCGTGTCTCAGTGTCTAGACACCGTGTCTCAGTGTCTAGACACCGTGTCTCAGCGTCTAGACACCGTGTCTCAGTGTCTAGACACCGTGTCTCAGTGTCTAGACACCGTGTCTCAGCGTCTAGACACCGTGTCTCAGTGTCTAGACACCGTGTCTCAGCGTCTAGACACCGTGTCTCAGTGTCTAGACACCGTGTCTCAGTGTCTAGACACCGGGTCTCAGTGTCTAGACACCGTGTCTCAGTGTCTAGACACCGTGTCTCAGCGTCTAGACACCGTGTCTCAGTGTCTAGACACCGGGTTTCAGTGTCTAGACACCGTGTCTCAGTGTCTAGACACCGTGTCTCAGCGTCTAGACACCGTGTCTCAGTGTCTAGACACCGTGTCTCAGTGTCTAGACACCGTGTCTCAGCGTCTAGACACCGTGTCTCAGTGTCTAGACACCGTGTCTCAGCGTCTAGACACCGTGTCTCAGTGTCTAGACACCGTGTCTCAGTGTCTAGACACCGGGTCTCAGTGTCTAGACACCGTGTCTCAGTGTCTAGACACCGTGTCTCAGCGTCTAGACACCGTGTCTCAGTGTCTAGACACCGGGTTTCAGTGTCTAGACACCGTGTCTCAGTGTCTAGACACCGTGTCTCAGTGTCTAGACACCGTGTCTCAGCGTCTAGACACCGTGTCTCAGCGTCTAGACACCGGGTCTCAGCGTCTAGACACCGTGTCTCAGCGTCTAGACACCGTGTCTCAGCGTCTAGACACCGGGTCTCAGTGTCTAGACACCGTGTCTCAGTGTCTAGACACCGGGTCTCAGTGTCTAGACACCGTGTCTCAGTGTCTAGACACCGTGTCTCAGCGTCTAGACACCGTGTCTCAGCGTCTAGACACCGTGTCTCAGTGTCTAGACACCGGGTCTCAGCGTCTAGACACCGGGTCTCAGCGTCTAGACACCGTGTCTCAGCGTCTAGACACCGTGTCTCAGTGTCTAGACACCGTGTCTCAGCGTCTAGACACCGGGTCTCAGTGTCTAGACACCGTGTCTCAGTGTCTAGACACCGTGTCTCAGTGTCTAGACACCGGGTCTCAGTGTCTAGACACCGTGTCTCAGCGTCTAGACACCGTGTCTCAGCGTCTAGACACCGTGTCTCAGTGTCTAGACACCGTGTCTCAGCGTCTAGACACCGGGTCTCAGTGTCTAGACACAGGGTCTCAGTGTCTAGACACCATGTCTCAGTGTCTAGACACCGAGTCTCAGCGTCTAGACACCGGGTCTCAGCGTCTAGACACCGTGTCTCAGTGTCTAGACACCGTGTCTCAGTGTCTAGACACCGGGTCTCAGTGTCTAGTCACCGTGTCTCAGCGTCTAGACACCGTGTCTCAGTCTCTAGTCAACGTGTCTCAGCGTCTAGACACCGTGTCTCAGTGTCTAGACACCGTGTCTCAGCGTCTAGACACCGGGTCTCAGTGTCTAGACACCGTGTCTCAGTGTCTAGACACCGTGTCTCAGTGTCTAGACACTGTGTCTCAGGGTCTCAGTGTCTAGACACTGGGTCTCAGTGTCTAGACACTGTGTCTCAGTGTCTAGACACCGTGTCTCAGTGTCTAGACACCGTGTCTCAGTGTCTAGACACTGGGTCTCAGTGTCTAGACACCGTGTCTCAGTGTCTAGACACCGTGTCTCAGTGTCTAGACACTGGGTCTCAGGGTCTCAGTGTCTAGACACCTTGTCTCAGCGTCTAGACACCGGGTCTCAGTGTCTAGACACTGGGTCTCAGGGACTCAGTGTCTAGACACCGCGTCTCAGTGTCTAGACACTGGGTCTCAGTGTCTAGACACCGTGTCTCAGTGTCTAGACACTGGGTCTCAGGGTCTCAATGTCTAGACACCGAGTCTCAGTGTCTAGACACTGGGTCTCAGTGTCTAGACACCGTGTCTCAGTGTCTAGACACTGGGTCTCAGGGTCTCAGTGTCTAGACACTGTGTCTCAGTGTCTAGACACTGGGTCTCAGGGTCTAGACACCGTGTCTCAGTGTCTAGACACTGGGTCTCAGGGTCTCAATGTCTAGACACCGGGTCTCAGTGTCTAGACACCGTGTCTCAGCGTCTAGACACCGGGTCTCAGTGTCTAGACACCGTGTCTCAGTGTCTAGACACCGTGTCTCAGTGTCTAGACACCGTGTCTCAGTGTCTAGACACCGTGTCTCAGCGTCTAGACACCGTGTCTCAGTGTCTAGACACCGTGTCTCAGCGTCTAGACACCGTGTCTCAGCGTCTAGACACCGTGTCTCAGCGTCTAGACACCGTGTCTCAGCGTCTAGACACCGGGTCTCAGCGTCTAGACACCGGGTCTCAGCGTCTAGACACCGTGTCTCAGTGTCTAGACACCGTGTCTCAGCGTCTAGACACCGGGTCTCAGTGTCTAGACACCGTGTCTCAGTGTCTAGACACCGGGTCTCAGTGTCTAGACACCGGGTCTCAGCGTCTAGACACCGTGTCTCAGCGTCTAGACACCGTGTCTCAGCGTCTAGACACCGTGTCTCAGCGTCTAGACACCGGGTCTCAGTGTCTAGACACCGGGTCTCAGTGTCTAGACACCATGTCTCAGTGTCTAGACACCGTGTCTCAGCGTCTAGACACCGGGTCTCAGCGTCTAGACACCGTGTCTCAGTGTCTAGACACCGGGTCTCAGTGTCTAGTCACCGTGTCTCAGTGTCTAGACACCGGGTCTCAGCGTCTAGACACCGGGTCTCAGTGTCTAGACACTGGGTCTCAGGGTCTCAGTGTCTAGACACCGCGTCTCAGTGTCTAGACACTGGGTCTCAGTGTCTAGACACCGTGTCTCAGTGTCTAGACACTGGGTCTCAGGGTCTCAATGTCTAGACACCGAGTCTCAGTGTCTAGACACTGCGTCTCAGTGTCTAGACACCGTGTCTCAGTGTCTAGACACTGGGTCTCAGGGTCTCAGTGTCTAGACACTGTGTCTCAGTGTCTAGACACTGGGTCTCAGGGTCTAGACACCGTGTCTCAGTGTCTAGACACTGGGTCTCAGGGTCTCAATGTCTAGACACCGGGTCTCAGTGTCTAGACACCGTGTCTCAGCGTCTAGACACCGGGTCTCAGTGTCTAGACACCGTGTCTCAGTGTCTAGACACCGTGTCTCAGTGTCTAGACACCGTGTCTCAGTGTCTAGACACCGTGTCTCAGCGTCTAGACACCGTGTCTCAGTGTCTAGACACCGTGTCTCAGCGTCTAGACACCGTGTCTCAGCGTCTAGACACCGGGTCTCAGTGTCTAGACACCGGGTCTCAGTGTCTAGACACCGT